ACTCTGGGCAAAATTCTCAGTCTTTTGTTTTCTTTACATTTATTAGAGAGCAATCTCAGCTAAATTAAATTTCTTAATATAGCATATTGCTTACTAAGACACACAGAATTTTAAACTATACTTTCTCTGACCAGAGTGAATTCTGTTGTTAAAACCTTATTTAATAGAAATTTATTTAATTTTTTCAAGTTTTTTATTAAATCTGTAATTGGTACACTTATTATTGGATTGATTTTGCTCCAATGTCCAAGTATTTTCCTTAATGTATACTTAACAAGTGTTTTCCCCTCACTCTGAGGGTGGAAGTGGGGAGCTCAATTTAAAATCTCCAGTGTTCAAATGTTCTTCCTTTTTTTCCCCCCAGAAAATTCTTTCTTTATACAGTGATTCTTCCTCTGCCGCCAATGTCTTTTCTTTCTCCTCATGCATAAGCTATCCGTTTCCTCTTCTTTCTGCTCATCTCTGAAACATGGTCCATTCTTTCACCCTGTTCATATCTATATTTTAACATTTCCCTCCTTAAATTTCAAACACTTCACAAATCTAAGTATCTACTTTCCCTACCCATAATAAAACTGCTGAATGTTTCGGATAAAATCACCCAGAAGTCTGTAGTGACACTACATGAAATTACTGTCAGAAATCTCATCTGGTGACTAAAATATGCCCAGAAATCTTTTACTATTGTCCCACTCAAGCATTTTCTAATTTTCATAATAATCGTTTTAAAATATTTTCCCTTTCTGAAAACTTCTGCAAAGCCCCAATACTCCCAATGGTTTTTAGCAAAAGACCTTGCCTTTCACTTCACAGAAAAAATGCCATCAGATGTCTACTGAAACAACTTCCTTACATCAAATCTAAAAAGATTATATCTGCACCTAGACACACAAACTCATTACACACACGTTTTATTTATATATGAATACTATATATATATGTTTTATACATGCTGCTTTTTCCCTCATTTTATAAGGAAAATCCTATCATAGTCTACATGCTGATATTCTAACTGTACACTTTATCTCAACCTCTGTTTCTTCCCAAAGGAAATTTCATTATCAATTATTCTCCTACTCATTTATATTTTCACCTCCTCCCTCTCATATTGTTAATTTTATTTCATATTTCAAGACATTTTGTTCTACTCATCTTCCCCATCATTACTGCCTTTTTTCCCTCTTCTTCACAGCCAAAGGTCATGCTTGAATTGTTTACACACATTTCCTATATCTACCTACCTTCTAGTTACCTCTCAACCAACTGTAATGTGGGATTTGCCCAAATCTGCTAACTAATTTAATGACAAAGGGCCAACATATTACATCATCCTATAAGGTCTTTTCCAAACCAAGATTATATTTGAAACTATTGGCAGCTATCTCTTCAAAGCACACACTTGCCTTAAAATCTTTTGTTATCATGGAATATCAAAGCCAACTCCTGAGAAATAATAATATACAGAAAAATAAATATTAGTAGTGTCTTTCAAAGAGAAGTTCTTAAACCAGCCTTCCACCTATTTTCAGAAACAAGGCTTTGCTTTATTAGAATAAAGCCACACTCATGTTACATATTATCCATGACTGTTTTTGTGCTACAATGGAAGGCTTACTTATTGCAACAGAGACCATATGACTAAAATATTTACTATCTGGTCTGTTAGAAATAAAGTTTATAACTCCCTGCCTAAATATACAGTACATTATTATTAATTTTGCTGTAAACAGTTACCTTTTAGAGTTATTAAAAATTTAGAAGTTCATTTATTTTCATTTATTCCATTTTAAATGTTCTTCATTATACTTTAAAGATCCAAGATTTTTATTATCATATCCCTTCTGCCTGAAGAACTTCTTTAACATTGTTTGTAGATTAGTTCTGCAGGCAATGGATTACTCAGTTTTTGTTTGCTTCTTAGAGTCTTTAATTCTCATTTACTGTTGAGGATGATTTCTACTATTATTTATATTTGAGTTGACAATATTTTTCTTTCAGTTGTTTAAAAATATCATCCATTTTGTTCTTACTTGCATTTTTTCTTGAGAAAAATCTACTGTAATTCTTATCCTTTTTGCTCTGTAGGTAACACGCAATTTTCTCTGGCTTAAGATTTTCCTTTGTCTTTGGTGTCAGCAATTTGAATATAATATATCTAAGGAGTGTGTGAGTATGTGTCTGTGTGCTGACACACTTTGTTTTGGTATGAATTATGAATGATGTTTTCAGAGGTACTTGGATCTATGGACAATCATTTGATTTATTATCATTCTTTTTTCTTATGTAAATAATTAATGACATTTTTCTTAAATTTTCATTTGTACTACATTCCACATATTTTGATATGGGATATTTTAATACCCAGTTGCATTATTAAAATACCATTATTATTGATTTGACTCAAGTGTGAAAAGTAATAGTTTTCTTAAAATTTCAAAATGAATGAATATCTATTTTTATTATCAGCATTTAAATTAACATTGTATAGGACATATGATATCAATTATTTAAATTTTGTTATAAAATTTGAAAATTTGCAGTGAAAAAATAAATGTGAATATATTTTTGACATACATGGAGGAAATAATTTCTTAAACTAGACCCAGAAGTACCACCTCTAAAAACTTTTGTTAATTTTGGATAAAAAATTTTAAATTAAAATTTCTGTTAATATATTTACAACACACATAACAGACAAAAGGTATAATATGAAGAATAGCATCTATACACACATACACATATGTACACATACACACACACACACACACGCACATTTTGAAATCAATTTACAAAGACAACCCAATAGAAATATGGACAAATTCAAACCAAAATTAAACCATACTTTTCAAGCATTTGATTAAAACACATTAGAGTTCTGATGATACCAAATGTTGCAGATGTATATCAATAGCTGTTCTCATAATTCACTGGTTGGGATATAAATTAGTACAACCAAATTTGAAAAATACCTTAGTATAATTTTTTATTGATGATAATCTCAATCTCAACCTCTCTTTCTCTCTCTTCTCCTCTTTCTTATTTGTCCTTCTATATGGAGAGGAGCACTGGGATCAGGGGTGCATATAGGTAAATTATTTTCAGTATTCTACTTATATTGGCAGTTGTATTCACAGATATTTATGTATTTTTAAACATAGTGTGTAATGAATCAAAATTCTATCTAATCCATTTCTACTATTTTTCTGTTCTTTACATTGAACCAAGGAGAAATTTCTAATGTTTTCTAAACTCCGTTTTAACAAAGGAAAAATAGGTCTTAAGTTCAAAGCTTTGGCAGACAGCAATATCTAAGGAGAAGTTAATAACATAATTTTTCCACTATGCTTTTTTAGAATTAGCTTTTATACACTGTAAGTGACATTGTATTTTTAACCATAGTGATAACTGTTACCTTTTAAGCTAAAATGGTACATAGAATAGTGAGTTGATATAAGAAAATAAATTAAAGCAAAGCTGGTATGATGTGTGAACAATTGTGGAAGTGCTAGGCATATGACTCATAGTTGGGAACAAAGAAATCAAGAGTAGGTTTAAAGCAGATTCCCATACCAAAACATAGACAGTACTAAATTGTACCAGATTTCAGGAAAATAAGAGTGCTTTACTAACCACAAAGGTAGGAAAAAAAGAATTTTTAATGAGGATATTTGGGTGGAATATTCATTAATTTTGCTTAGATACTTAGATCAGTAATATAAATTTTTGCAGTATTTAGACCTATAAGCCATATTTATTCTCTTACAGGTATGTATTCATTTCACATCATCATGTTCTTAACTATGTGTGTACTATTTTTATTAACTAATCTAGAAATTTGTTTTACAATAATTCTGGTGTGGGATTTATACCTATAAATATAGAATTAAATTTTTCAGTATTAATAATACAGCATGCATTTTCAGACTTATAATAGTTGTACTTTTTTTTTTTTGCGGTACGTGGGCCTCTCACTGTTGTGGCCTCTCCCTTTGTGGAGCACAGGCTCCGGACACGCAGGCTCAGCGGCCATGGCTCACGGGCCTAGCCACTCCACGGCATGTGGGATCTTCCTGGACCGGGGCATGAACCCGTGTCCCCTGCATCGGCAGGCGGACTCTCAACCACTGTACCACCAGGGAAGCCCTAGTTGTACTTTTCTTGACACAAGTCTTTAATTTGATAAGGGGATATGTAGTCCAATGCTACAAGCTACCTGGTTCACTATATTGCCCATTAGTGAAATTCAAATTTTCACTCTTTAGGGCAGACTCCTGTTGCATGCTGAGTGCAACTTGAATTAAAGGTTCCTTTGCCACAGCTGGGGTTTATATAACTTAAGTTGTATCTTAATTTTAAAATTCAATCTTTAGAAAATCCCAACCAAGTAAATTTGGATCTCCAGTGACAGAAGACTTTGGCATCTGTGAGTAGCAGAATTAGACTCATTTAGTTGTCTTATCTGTAATCATCAGTTTGAATTAAAAGCTAATACTACTGGTGGGGAGTTCATGAACAGAAGAAATTCATATATTACATAGACTCATCCTGAATAGAATCTGTTTCCTTTTCTCACCATTTTGATTTTTAGGGACCCCTAAATAGTTAGAGCTAAATGATACTGTGAGGAAGAGAATTTATTATTTTTACATGTACTTAATTACTGTGATAATGACCTATGACTTCTATTTATCCTCCTTATTGTATTCACTAAATCACAGATGTTTATAGTACATGAAGTAATATATTTAAGCAGCATAAACAATATTTATTTATCAAACTTTTGTTTGAGATTCATATACAGGATATATCAAATATAGGATATATCAAGTACATTATTTCATTAAGCAACTATAGTAAGAAAATCATTCCAAATTGGTACACATGTATCTTTAAGTTAATCAAAATAAATGTTATACTTGTAATCCAGGCGGACCAGTCAGTACAGTTCTATGTGGCATCTTTGCAAGTCTCCCCATTTCACTTGTGACTAAGCTCCTTACCTGAGTCTCCTGTCAGTCCTTCCAACACAGCAGACCATTTTTCATCTCACAACCTTCATGTTTTCTCTTCTACAATTGAAACAAAGGTTTCTCAAATATTTAATTATCTAAATCATTCTGTAATCTAAATGGTATTTTAACTTTTATTGTTTTACACAGCATTAAGGTATTGAGTTTATTTTTGTTCTCCATAATAACAGCCTCTATTGTTTTTAGTTATTTGTTATATTTTATGTTTATTTATCCTCAATAATAATATATGGTTCATGAAGACAGGAACTTGCCTGTTTTGTTCTCTGTTCTTGCTCTCTTGTTCAGGTCAGAGAGCCAAACCCAGAACAGGGTTAATTTTCAGTGATATTTGTTGAATGAATGACTATAACTTTTAATAGTATTTATATTTCTAATCACATTAAACCTCATGAGTTCTCACTGTTTTTTGAGAAAAAGTAATCTGACTTGATCTGATGTTGAACTTTATATCAGTCTACAGACCTTTGAAAATTTCCAAGTTTAACATTCTACTCTTATTTTCTTTTCTCCATTACATTTTGAACATTGTTTCTTAGGTCAAAAATTACTATTTCCCAAATCCTGGGTATTTTTGGAAATTGGTTTTATTTATATCTTCAAATGATAATCAATGGGGTATTGCTTGACCCTAAAATTGTCTGACATATTATTTTAAATATACAAAGGTAAATTATATCCTATTCAAAGACAAATTAAATTTACAACTTTTAAATATCTCACCTTATCCTGGATCTAAATGTCTAAATGTAGTCATGACACAAAGAGTGTATAATTTTCTGCCAGGTCCAATTATTTACCATGCTTTTGAGGTACTTTTTTGTTGTTTATTAGTTTTTCACTATCAGAAAATGTTTTTATAAGCTACTGTTCTCTTCTTGAGGAACTGAGTAATTGAGGTTGAAATTAGAAACATGTGGGTTCTTACTATGACATGTAATATGAAGGTTTTTTAAATCTATTTTAGGCCAAATTTCTGTCACAACTAAAGCAGATGGTGTTTTTCATTTTTGCACTAATAAATTAAATCTAAAGAAATGTTTTTATATGTAATAAAACTTAATACTGAGGAATACCCAAGATACATGCTATTTACATAATTGATTACACATCAAAATCTTAAAAGCCTAAATATTTTAAGAGCTTCAGTATGATTCATTAGGGCATTGGGCTACTTGTTTGGATTATTTTTGAAAAACAATTAGATTGCTCTGTGAGGATTATAATATTAATAAAATACTGTTTAATGAAGAATAATTTTAGGAAAAAGTATTAACTTTAGTAGTAGAAACACTCGCTGTATAGCTATTAGAGAAGCCCAATAATTGTTCTGAGAAATTTCTTCTTACTGAATGATACATCTCAATAGAAATAAGCCCTAAATAAATTTCCATTCAAGTAATAGCTTAATTCAAAACACAGCACTGAATTTTGCCATTTGTGACAATAGGCATGGACACAGAGGGTATTATGTTAAGTAAAATAAGTCAGAAAGAGAAAGACAAATACTGTATCATTTCACTTAGATGTGGAATCTAAAAAACAAAACAAATGAACTAAAACAAACTCACTGATACAGAGCACAAACAGGTGGTTGCCAGGGGTAATGGGGTGGGTTTGGGAGTGGAATGAATGAAATAGGTGAGAGAAATTACGAGGTACAAACTTCCAGTTAAAAAATAAATGAATCATGGGAATGACGTGTACATCATGGGGAATATAGTCAACAATACTGTAATACCTTTGTATGGTGACAGATGGTAACTAGACTTATGTTGGTAATCATTTTGTAATGTATAAAAATACTGAATCACTATGTTGTGCACCTGAAACTAACATAGTGGTGTGGGTCAATTATATTTTAAAAAGGAAGAAAATGTGTAGGAAAAAGAAATTACTTTTCATTTCTATTTTTTAATCTGATAAACTTAAATTTTAGCATAATTTTAGTGTTTTAAAATTTAAAATATATTAGTATAAAAGAGATGTAAAATGCAAAAATATTCAAAAAAGCAATAACTACATTGACCACATCAACAGGGTAAAGTGGGAAAGTCATATAATCATATCAATAGACACAGAGAAAGCATTTTACAAAACCCAACACCAATTCATGTTTAAAAAATAAAACAACTCTACAAATTGGAAATAAAGAATAACTTCCTCAACTTGATAGGGAACATCTACAAAATCCTACTTACTGGCTAATGTCATACTTAATGGTGAGAAACAAATCATTCCCCCTTAGAATGGGAAGTAGGCAAGGATGTCCCCTCCACCGCTTTTATTGAACATCATACTGGAAGTATAATGTAATAAGAAAATAAAACATATTAATTGAGATGGAATAAATGAAACTGTCTTTGTTTCCAGATTGCATGATTATATATGTAGAAAATTCCAAAGAACAATAAAAAAATTCCTGGAACTAATAAGGAAGTTTAGCAAGATCACAGGATGCAAAGTTAATGTACAAAATTTAATTGATTTCCTATATGCCAGCAATGAACAACTGACATTTTAAATTAAAGCCATATACATTAACACCTCCAAAATTAAATACTTAGGTATAACTCTAACATAAAATGTATTAGAACTGTATGAGGAAACCTAGAAACCTCTAATAAAAGAAATAAAAGATCTAAATGGAAAGATATTCCATATTCGTGGATAGGGACTCTCAATATTAAAAGGTCAATTTTTCTTGTTATAAAGATCCAACGCAATTCCAATCAAAATCCCAACAAGTTACTTTCTGGTTATTGAATAACTGATTTTGAAGTTTAAATGGAAAAGCAAAAATCTCAGAAAAGTCAAAACAAAATTGAAAAAGAACAAAGAGGACTGACAACTTCAAAACTTACTATAAAGCCATAGTAATCAAGACAGCATGGTACCGGCAAAAGAACAGACAGATACATCCTTGTAACAGGATTGAGTGCCTAGAAATAGACACACACAATACAGACCCACATGATAACTGACTTTAACAAAAGAACAAAAGGCATTTTGATATAGAAAGAATATTCTTTTCAACAAATGGTAATAGGACACCTGGTTATCCACATGCCAAAAAAAAAAAAAAAGGGTATCTCAACACAGACTTCACATCTTTCACTCAATAGGGATCATATACCTAAAAGTAAAACACAAAACTATAAAATTTCTAGAAGATAACATAAGAGAAAACCTAGGCGGCCTAGGGTTTTGTAATGACTTCTTTTTTCCCAAATAGGTTTATTTTTGGTAAAGTTGTAGATTCACAGTAAAATTGGATGTAAAATATAGAGAGATCCTACATAACCTCTGATTCCACACATGAACAGCCTCCACCACTGTCAACATCCTATATCAAATTGGTACATTTGTTACAATTAATGAACCTATATACACATCATCACTCAAAGTCCAAAGTTTACATTAAGGTTAACTCTTGGTGTTATACATTCTATGGATTTGGACAAATATATAATAATATGTATCCACTTTATAATAAGTATCATACAGAATAGTTTCATTGCCCTAAACGTCTCTGTGCTCTGTCCATTCAACTCTCCCTTCACCCAACCCCCTGTAACCACTGATCTTCTTACTGGTCTATTTTTTTTTTCAGAATGTCATAGAGTTGGAATCATACACTATGTAGTCTTTTAAGATTGACATCTTTCACTTACTAATATGCATTTAAGGTTCTTCCATGTCTTTTCATGATTTAATAGCTCATTTCCATGTTAGCACTGAATAATATTCTATTTTATAGATGTACTACAGTTTATTTATACATTAACCTACTGAAAGGTATCTTGGTTGCTTCCACATTTTTGCAATTATGAATAAAGCCACTTAAACATTCAAATGCAGGTTTTAAAAGCTCATTTGGGTAAATACCAAGGGGAGTGACAGCTGGCTCATTATAGTAAGAGTATGTTTAGTTTTGTAAGAAACAGCCAGTCTTCCAAAGTGGCTGTACCATTTTGCACTCCCCCAGCAATGAATGAGAGTTCCTGTTGCTCCACATCTTCACCAGCATTTGCTGTTGTCAGTGTTTTTGATTTTTACCAATCTAATAGTTGTGCAATGATATCTCATTGTTGTTTTAATTTGGATTCCCTAATGATGGTGGTGAATTTTAGATACAACAACAAAAGCATGATCCATTAAAGAAAAAAGTTGATAAGTAGAACCTCCGTAAAAAACAAAACTTCTGCTCTGAGAAAGTCACTGTTGAAAAAATGAGAAAACTGGGGAAAATATTTGCAAAATATATATCTCACAAAGAACTTGTATCCAAAATATACAAAGAACTCTTAAAATTCAATAATAATAATATTAAAAATTTAAAAGTGGGCAAAAGATTAGAACAGACACCTCACCATAGAAGATGTATAGATGGTAAATAAGCATATGAAAAAATGCTCAACGTCATATGTATTGGAGAATTGCAAGTTAAAATGAGATAATACCACACTGAATAGTCAGATTCTTACACATACAGTCTTATATGTTACTCAGCAATCACGCTACTAGGTGTTTATACAAATTAGTTGAAAACTCATGCCCACACAAAATGTGCAGGTGATTGTTTATATCACACTAATGCACAACTTTTATTTTATGATAGATATTAAGGCAGAATTCCTTCACCTGTGGGAAAATTCAGTTTTTACTATTAAGGCCATCAACTGATTGGATAAGTCCCACACACATTATAGAGGGTAATCTACTTTACTCAGAGTAAAGTCAACTGACTGTACATGTTAATCACATCTACCTAATGCCTTCATAGCAACATCTAGACTAATGTTTGACCAAACAACTAGACACCATGGACTAGGCAAATTGACACATAAAATTAACCATTACAATAGGTGAGGAATGTACAGAAACTGTCTATAGTGTCTGGAATTTTTTTGTAAGTCTAAATCATTCCAGAATGTAAAGTGTTGTTTTTTCTTTTTTTCAAGGATAAACATAACATGTATCTTAGTATAAAAAAGCAAATTAAAACGGCTTATTATTGAATATCTGAATAACAAAAA